AAGCAAAAACAGGATGGATCTAAAACCAGCTCTCTGCTCTATATTTTAGAGCTTGTTGTTCATTAAAACGGACTTCCTGCAATTGTTCCCCAAACTGATGCTTGGCGCAGTTTATGAGAAATAAAAATGTTGGAGACTTTGGCTTCTAGGGAAGAAGGGCTTTGTTGATTTAGGACAGTAGGAAACAAATAATGTAAATTAACACTTGAGAGGGAGTTGTCACTGGGTGTTTAATTCTTTACAGAGTTTTTGTTCCCTGTGTGGTAAACAGAACTTCTAAACAGTTGTCTCTGGAAACTTTGTCTGCCTCTGTCATTTGGTACTCATTGTAGAGGTCATAACTGGTGTCATCTTTGGCCTTTCCATACCAGGTTTTGGTGGTTTAGGCAGTGTTTCTGTCCCTCATGATGTAGCATAACGTACTTGTTGTTGCAGTGAAGTTGGCAGAATTTCAGATCTTCCAAACCACGTGAAACGTGGCTTCTGAAACAAGTTTACAGATGGCAGGGAACCTGCCAAGAATCTGCAGTGTGGAGGGGTCTGCTCAGTACCAAGATTGTTCTGAGATTGGGCCCAGAATGTCTTGCAAATGTACTAAGAACTTGCTGTCACCTTGATGTCTGGGGTGCGTTGTTTCAGGCATGCCCACCCGCGTGTCCAGAGCAGCCAAGGAATGCTTGGAAAAATAAGTCGTCACACTAGTGATTTTAAAACTTTATCGCTGTAACCATTTGGGATACAGAAAGGGACACGCAGTTGCACTAAAATAGCAGGAATTGGCAGTCACACTGGAATGAGAGGGAGCAGAGAGTCACGCTGGGCCCTTTCCGTGTGGAATGGAGCCTGCTCCTTGACAGGGGTCAGGCCTCTTCCACTGACCTGGCCTCACCTCACACTGCGTTTGTTTCTTATGCAAATACATTAATTAGTAAGAGCAGCAGATTGAAGGAGGAATGTTTTTAGAGCAGGTTAGGTTAAAGAGTAATAAATTCAGTATGAAAGACTCTTACTACTTCTGGTGGTATCTTTCTTGCAGTTTTGGAACCTTTGTTGCGATTGGAGTTACTGTTTTTGCGGTGATTGTAGTTACTATTATTCTGTGCCTCACCTGTTCGTGTTGCTGTTTGTATAAAGCATGTCGAAGACCACGGCGTAAGTACCTATATATTTATTTTCTTTTTCACATCTTTGAACAAGACTTTTTTTTTTTTTTCCTGGAAAACTGTGTTTCTATAAAAGGTGAAAATAATCTTGCCTTACCTTTCTGCTACCAAAGTTGCTTATTTTTAATGTTTAGGTATCACATTTAAACTGCTTCAGAATGTGAAGTTGTAGAGATGCTTTGGAATATTTTCTAAGCATTTAGAAGCTCTCTTTTCTTCATGCCCCCAGTGTGGGGGCTTTGGGGTGGTTTTGTTTGTTTGGGTAAGCAGAGCATAGAATTAAATTTTAATTCCTGAAAGATACACCAGAGGCCCAGGAGTGCAACGGTACAATCTAGAGCAAAGTCTAAAAGTCTCTTGAGGAAGGAGATCTTGAAAACAAATTGTTGCAGTTTGTTAGAAAGTGTTAATACTCCATTATTAAAATAAGAGAGATGAACCAATGATCCAACATCAGCTCATACAAAAATCAATGACTTGATGTGTATTTGCCTTTCTGACTGTCTTCTGAGGAAGACGTACTAACACATGGATGTATTAGTGTGTAGAAAACATAAAAAAGGAAACTCATCTTGGCAATCCTGGTAGGAAACTCCTTATCTAATAAAGGAAGTCTTTATCACCTTAATCCTTAAAACCAGTTAATGTTTACAAATGAGCAGTTTTTCCAGTCTCATACCAAATGATAGATAACTTGTCTGTAGGGTTGAGTTCCTGGGTTTTGAAGAGTCCAAGAAAAAAAATTCTTTGCTCTTTGTGTTTGAGAAACAAGGAGATAAGTTGGCTGCTGTCCCGATGGGTGAGGGCTCTCCTTACCACTGAGATCGATGGGAGGAAATTGAGCTGCATACAGTTCTAAATCTTGGAACTCTGAAAATGAAATTACCTGGATTTTTGAAGTGAGAAATTGATCTTAAGAAAGGAAGTTTTTCACATTACTGTTGTTGGCTGTCCCAGGTGATGTCCTAGAACCACCAGCACTAACCGTTCCTTTTGTTTGTTTGTAGCTGTTGTGACCACTACTGCCACTACGTCCACTACAGTGGTTCATGCTCCCTATCCCCAACAGCAGGGAGTGCCACCCAACTACCCAGTAGCCCCATATCAAGGATATCAGCCGGTGGCTATCCAGCCACAACCGGGAATGCCGGTAGCACCGTACCCTGCACAGTACCCTCCCCCTTACCCCATGCAGCCGTCAGGACCCCCAGCCTATCATGAAACAGTGGCAGGTAAGACAACGCTGATTGTTTCTTCATCTCTTAAATAGCTGCAGACAGTTGCATTGGAGCCAATCTTGTATTATTGACATTTATTATTTTCTATGGCTATATGAATGTATGTGTAAACAATTTATGTAAGACTCAAGTGATGGTGGATGCTGTAATTCACCCTTCCTGAAGTTTCCCCATCACCATTTCTATGTTAAACAGAGCAAGAGGAGATGTAGCTGGAGCTGTATTGGCAAAGTTTAGTATGTGGGACTACCGGTGGACTCAGTAGAATGTTTTACTAATTCAGTTGAAATTTCATATTAAAAATCAAAGTCCAGTTAACATGTGTGTAGTAGTTGGGTGCTTCTACGTATCCTTTTTAATGTGATATTTGCTAGATGTTTTAATCTATACACAGATTGGCATTTTCTAGTGGTTCGTTATGTTTATAGAATAACAAGTCTCTGATCAACTCCAGACAAGTTTGATGATGACTAGCAGTCAGGATTATTGGAACCTTTTTTCCTCTGCTTTCCTTCTTTCACAGCATTGTTTTCATACAGCTTTATTGTCACTATTACTAATTCCCACTTCTGCTGGTAGTAGCTGATCTCTGAACGGTTGGTTTCTGGCTGTTCCGATCCTAGGATCTTCAAACCCTCTTAACAAACCACACTGTTCAGCCCTCTGAGTAACAAGCAAAGTCTAGTCCTGAGTAGCAGACAATGCACCTGGAAAGTAACTCTTTCTTGACAACTCAAATATAAAATGTCTGTTCATGGTCTTAAGCATTTGTAAACCAGTTAGAAATTGTACATTAACAATGTGCTAACCAGCCCCACATGTAAAAACACTGACTTGGCAGGCCTGTTGACTTTATTTTTCTGTTGTAAACTCTGAAGAAGCTGTGGGTTTTATGGGATTACCCCAAAGTGCTTTGGCTTCATCATCATCATGTGAGGGAGCCAATAAACCAGTCATTTTGCTTCTCCTACTCTCTGGTTTCTCAAACTGCTGCTGGTTTGTTAGTTCTTAATTATTTTTTTTTCCTGGGAAAATCTTGAACCACTTTGCATGTTGCCAGCTGAGAATGCCTCAAAATTACAGGCATTCCTTATTTTCTTTTCTTATTTTTCTTCTCTATTAGCCAAAAGGCAGTCTCTTCATTAGGTCACACGCAAGGGAGGGAATACCTGCTCTGTTGCACAGGAGCCAAACCAACTCACTTTGCAAGATCAGCGAAAGATAACCACACTTACATGCTTCAGGGATCTGGGCAGGTCCTGCGTTATTTGAAACAACTTGTGGTATTTGACAGATCTGGAAATGAAGAGGGCACTTGAGAGCTTGTCTCAGAATATTAGAAAATAAGGATATCTTCTGAATGATATACATCTAGTATATAACTCAAACTCTTTAATGTGCTTGGTAGTGGTGGGATACTTTTTCCCTTTTATTTTAATTTTTTTATTAACTCTGTGACATTTACCAGTAAAGCATTTTCCCTGAAGGAATCCCAAGATAGTTTCTCTAGTCCTTTTTCTTTTGCCCAGTTGTTTATTTTCACTTCTTGGTGTACTATCAGGTATATCCTGTTGTTTGTGCATCTCTGACTTCCCCCAGCTGTATTTTTGGACCAGATCTGTTCCCTTTTCTTAGACTAAGTTTTCCCCTGAAGGCTAACCATGTGCTTGTGACTGCCATAGTACACATGGACCCTCAAGCATCAAAAAAACCCCAAAGCCCAAAAAACCCACAAGAACAAAGGTTTTTGTGATTTTTCCTTTGAAACATGGATGCTTTATGAGTTGGCAGAAACTGTTCTCAAGTCCTATTAAAATGCTAGATACCTCTTAACTGTGTGCTCGAAACAGAAGTTACCATTATAGATGTAAAATTCAGAATGTAAATTTTACAAATCTGTGTTTTTCTTGTTTTGCTGTTACAGCTGGTGGTGGAGCACCTTACCCAGTCACCCAGCCCCCTTACAACCCTGCTTACATGGATCCTCAGAAGCCCATCTATTGAAAAGATCTTCTACTATGCCCCTGCATACAAAACTTTTAAAAGTATAATTTGTGCTGTTTACACTGTGCAACTGTAGTATATTTTTCTGGAAGATGGCAGTCTTTAAGTAAAGTGAAAGTTCATTCAGTATCTTTCTTTTTAAATGCTTCGAGTACAAGGAAAGTATTTTTCTTGCAGAAGTTGTTGATTTATACCTCAAGCAAATACAAAAAGAGATTTTGCTCGATATACAATGAGAAAAGCATGAAGAAGGAGTACTTCAGAAATAAGAACCACAATAACATTTGCTGTGCAATAATTTTGGAAGGAATGGTCTAATACGAGCATTATCAAACACCCAAAGCTGTAGCAATTTTTTGCACAGTATTAAAATATAAAAACTTAATCTCTAAGAAACTACCTGATCTATGTTCAGTATGTTCTGCCTGTTTGGAAGCTACTATTGTTAGGGAAGCTACAATGTAATACATTTCGTTTACCATTCAAAAGGGAATTTTCCTTGGTTGAAACACATTTGCCTTTAGTAAGGGTAGCAAACCACGTTTCATTGTCTTTGGACTAGTTGCGTTTTTCTGTGTTAAATAGCATGAGTTGATAATTTCCTTGTTTTCTTTCCCAATTTTAAGGCTTGCCTTCATTGGGTGATTTCTCAGGTGGTTTTAATTTACAGGTAGAAATTAACAACAAAACCAAACTCTGCCACTTAGTAGAACAAATAGATCAAAAGCTGAAAACCTGAGAATTCTTAATGAAAAATATTGGACAAGTATTTTTTTGTCCAAATATTATTGGACAAGCTTACTTAAGTCTTATGTCGTTTATGAGTTTGGAAGAAAAATTAGCACCTTAATCCTATGTTAAGCAGAAGTACCTGCCAGTGTTTCATCCTGCCTCATCACAGGGAAAGAATTTATTTTATGGGAGAGATGGGATGTCAGAAATAGATTGGGGTTTTTAAACGCTTAGGGTTTATCACTGTCTGTCTCTGGTCGGGACTGTAGACGGCAGGAATCTAAGGATCTTTATAAACTCAGTCTGTGTTCGAAATACAATATATGGAAGGGGGTAAGAAACCCCAGCCCAACACACAGAAGAGATTAAACCTCCCTTTTGTCCTCAACATTCAAGAAAGCTGAGCAGCGAATGAGAAGGCAGCAGGATTTGGTCACAGTCAGGTAATGTGTTTTCAAGAAGGTAGCGCTTGCAGTCATGAAACATCTTGGGACATCCTCACGACTGTGTACTGGTGTTTGCAAGGCTTTTGGCTCTATACACCTTGTATTGACCAAACAAATAATGATTTTTATTTTTTTTACTGTCCTCTACAATTCTGTCTTTTCTAACAGTGAAATACAATTTGTTATTCCTCAGTAGAGCTATCTACTCTATCACTGTGACATAATCATTGAAATAATGTTGACATATCTCACACACTGATTTTACTTTTTTAGAGAGGCCATTAAGCCATTTGTCCTGCAATTCTACATTTGGGGTATAGTACTGTTTGAAAAATATTGATGGTGGCATTGTTTTACCTCATGTGATGGATGGAAACTGCTGCTGTCAACAGCAGCCTTATTACTCTTCCTGATTTTTGAGTCTATTTCTGGGTTATTCCAATTCTTTTTTTCAAGTAAGTCTTCAGGGCATTTCAGAAGAAACTTGTACAAAGTTTTTAGCATTGGGATTCATGACAACCTGTGCCCTTCTGTTACACCTCTCTGAGAGTGTTGATGTTAATAGTGTGAAATGTTGCCAAGGGGCACTCGGAGAGCACGCACACCCTGTGTCTGTGTGTTCCTCCTCTTTCCTGCCTTGTAAGTGGGAGGAATGAGGCAGTCCTTCACTAAACTGTTAGGAGTTATGTGAGATCAACCAGGAATGGACATCCTCCTGTATGGAGGATGACATGTTTCCCTAGAAATCTGGAATTTTTATGTGTGGGAGGGCACTGAATAACTGCAGAAATAATTCCCTTGCTATAGTCCTACCCCTGTGTGTTTATTCATATAGAAGGAGGGCTGAGACTCTTCCAGCACCTTTATAAGGCCACTGCCTGGATGGAGCCTGGCCAGCGAGGTGCAGCCAGCGCGCACAGCTGCCGTGCAGCTCTCGGAGCACAGGTACAGCGTTGTAGTGTTGGGCTTCATGAGGCTATTACTCTGCACCACTCTTCCTTTCCTCCATCTGATGTGACAAAGCATACAGTTCGTGGCACTGTTCGTGGAGTTGTGTTTTGGTTATGAAAGGAAAAATCTGCAGTTTCATGAGAAGTTGGCTCAATCATCTGCCATCATCCCTAAGGAAAAGGTAGTAGGAAAGTAAAGTGGCAACAATAACAGAGGTCTCCAAATCTGAAATTTTGGTGTATATGTTGTACAGACCAACACAGTTCATAATTGGAGCACTTTACCAGATCTTTTCTTAGTGTATTAATCATCATTAACAGTAAGGCGTAGGACCAAATCTTATTCAGTTGTGGCTGTGCGACCTGTTGAAACTTGTTTTCATATAGTTAATAGAATGGGATGATTATAGAAAAGATGGAGAAGTTGATCCATGAAGTTTTAGTTTAAGCACTGCTGATGTGTCCGTCCGAGTAGCTATCGCCTTCACATCAAACTAGTTATCTGCAGTGCCGTAAGGGAGGGGGAATGGAATTAAAATTTTAAGTGTTGAAAGAGCATATGTTCATTTTTTTTTATTCTGTAAGTGCCTTTGTTTCAGAAATGTTTTGTGAAATTAAATACAGTAGAATATTCTGTTGTACTGAACTTACTAGATAATCATTGTTGATTTTATTACATACTGTAACCTAGCTTTGTATGTTGGTTGTAGTTTAAATGTAAGTATTCAAAAGAAATTGCATAAACTTTATGCACCTTTGTAATAAATGCAGTGTTTGAAGTATATTCTATCAATTTTGTTTTCTTACCCTCAATTTGAGTGTTCTTTAGGAGTGTATCTGTGAAGCTACACATCATTGTGTTTGACAGCTAGTGTTACCAAGTGCACTGTAAGTCACCTTGTGTACTGAATATCACTTTTGGTAGTGGAGGCTGAAGCCTAATCAAAATTACAGGTCACAACGTAAAGCAAGGACAGTGTAAGCTCCTGAGTGATATTCTGACAGGACGCTTCAAAGCTAATCCGAAAGGATGGCTTCTAAGGTCTTGTCTAGCCTAAGGAGTGAATTAAATGCATGAAGTTTGAATGCCTTAGCTAACAAATCCCGAGACATTTGAAAGGTCTAGTATAGACAGGATGGTAGACTTCAAAGAAATCTATAATTTGATTAAAGTTTAATATTTTCTCAAAATGTATTTTGGCTCGTGTGTTTAATATCGTGCCTCATTTGTCAACTTGACCAGCATGTGGTAAGTGATGTGCTGTCTACTCTGTATGAAAACAGTTCTGCTGATGTGTTTGTGTACTTTCAATAGTTCTGAAAAAACATGCTTTGGAAAGGTTGTATTCATGCCCCTGACTTGTTTCTTTGACGAGGTCAAGAATGCTTTTTATAAGACACCAAGTAGTACTGAATTGGTTGAGGGCATTTGGTATAAAATCATTGCCTTGAATTGCCAGCTGAGTTTCCAATGTAGGATTTAAAAGAAAGGGGAAAGGGACAAAAAACCCCAAAACTACACCCACAAAAACACCCCCCAAACTTGTTCTGAAAGAGTTGTTTATCATGGAATAACCGGGTAGTTTTGTAATGGATTTGTTGGAGTTTCAGCTGCAGGCTGATAATGGGATAATGCAGGTGAAACGTAGATCATTTCACTTCCAATTTTATTTCACATTTTCTCAACAGAATTTCTATTTGTTACCTGGTGACAGCAGACAAAATGTATGCTCCTACAAGCCTAAATCCAGCAAAGAATTAGTGGAAATTAATTAGTAATTGCGGAGTTATTTCTGATGCTTTTGTTGCCACTACTTTTTAGTTCATCTGTTTTTGTTTTCCTGTGACTTTTTAGCAGGTGCATCTGCGCAATATGTCTGAACTTGAGAAGTGCCACGCAGAGAAGCCTCCTGTTCAGAGGAAACCTCTGTGCCTTCCCTTCTCTCTGCACACAGGTCTGAGGAACAAGAGCTAGTGTTCTGTTTAAACTTTCAGATTCCCTTTTGTTAAAGGAAAGCACATAGAGTTTCAAAGGTACTTTCACCCCTTAAAATTGCAGCAAAATGTGGTACAGGAGAGTAAACAGATGAAGTAAAAAGTTGAGAGCCCAGGGTTAGGTTGGTTATGTTTTCGTAATGTTTACTCAGCAGTTGGTTATGGTAGTGTGAATTTTTCCAGAACACAACTTGGCATGCATCTTAAAACCCACAGCAGGGCTGTACGGAGGAGCTGGACACAACGGAGGGAAAAACTTTAGCAATTGTTGCCAATCAAGCAATTCTCTCCTTTCCGCCCCCACCAAGTATGGAAACTTGGTATGGTATCTAGGCATGTACGGTAACTTGCCAGGTTTGCTTTCAGCTAGTGGTTTGGGGCCTTTCTTTTTCCTCTTGTTGCTCTTTGACCTCATCTACTTGTCAGTGTAGCCAGTATCACAGGAGCCTGCTCAGATTTACAGCTTTTCAGTAAGTTGTGTAGGAGGGGGAGTAAAGTACCCAACTTAAACCTGTTAGAGGTGAGATAAAGCTGAAGAAAATAATTTATTTTATCCTTTCAGATCTCGGGCATCTGTATTGATGGAGTAGTTTCCTCTGCTTCACCTTTTTATGGCAGTCTCCACTAAGGGCAGGTTAGTCATGTTATAAAGGATGTCCTTCTGTTGTGATTTCTTGAGGTTTGGGACAGTACTGGCTTTCGTCAATACTTTTGTCAGCACGGGCTAGCGAGGAGGCTCTGCGTGGCAGTGTGGCATGGCCCCTCTGGGTTTCCCCTGGGGCTGCAGTGTGCTGTGCAGGTTCGGAAGCAATGTCGTTTCTGTCTCAGTGCTGTCCCTTCTCTCCTGCAAACCAACAAGTCAGGGGTCTGTTTCACT